AACAGATAAGTTTTCTGAGCTTCCACAGTTCATAGCAGAAAAATTTCAGAATTTCAAGTTAGATTTGAGGTGAACAACAACACAATACAAGCACCACCACCAACACCAACACCCAAGTTCATGTATATTGCTTCAGGGAGAGGTGGAGGAGACAAGGACCACAGAAGGAACTACAGGGGGATTCTGCTTTATAAGTAATACTTATTTATTTTAAAACAGAAAATAGCTGATGCAGATATGACAACATATTAACATTTTCAGTTGAAGTAGGAAGAGGACTGTGTTGCAACTTTATATATTTTATACTATTAAAAAAATTTCAAAGAGGGGAAATTTTCTAGCTCTATCACTTACTTTTTTAGCTGTGAAATGGGAATATTAATGGGACTTATAATGAGATGAAAATTTATTATTTCAGTATCTGTCATCAGATTTCTCTTATGATAGGGTAGGATATCTTGACAGCCTTTTGAAAGAAGTTGTGGTGATCTCTGAAGGTATGGGAGGAACTGTGCTTCTAAAAGAGAAGATGAGAGTGATTATGGAAAGAGATTTGAAGTGAAGGGCCAGTGGATGCCCCCACACCCCTTGTAGGACAGGTGAAAGGACTTTTAAGGAGATTCTCTTCACAATTTTTGGCTTTTTTTTTCCTGGTAGGGGGCTTTGATGAAACCCTCTCTCATAACTCCATAGTTATCAGGAATACTTTCCTCATACAAGTGTGTGTGTGTGTGTGTGTGTGTGTGTGTGTGTGTGTGTGTGTGTATGTGTGTGTTCTACTTTGTTGTGAACATTCAGTGGGAGAGAATGAGTTTCATATCTTATTTAATCATTTAATAATCTGTTAATCCACTACGTTAACTGGACCTTCTGTGCATCTTGTGATTTCCATCCAGTTTCCATGCAGAACACTCCCCTATGTTTCTGCTAATTCCTATGGGAATAAATTCTCAGCAGACCAAATGATAAGTGGTAACTTTTGGCAAACATCCTGCTATTGCTTTAGAAACACTATTATCAAGAATAGAAACAAGCCAAAGATGGTCATGCTTACTGGAACTCTTCCATAATATACCAGAGAACCTAGTCAATTTAATAACATAAGAAAATAGTATAGGACTTCTGCAGAAGATAGCAGAGTAGGAGTATCCTAAGTTCACCATGTCCCATGGATACACCTAGATAACACTCACATCAGTGCAAATAACCAAGAAAACCACTTGAAGACTGGCAGAACAGACTCTCCACAGCTCAATGTAAAGAAGAGGCCATATCAAAGAGGGTAGGAAGGATGGAGACATGGTTGGGAGCCAAATGGAACCATGGGATTGTCCCAGGGAGGGAGGGATACCACCAGCATAGAGACAGGGAGAGGACCAGACCCCATACCAGGCATCTCAGGCACAGGGAACTCACATGGGGAGCCAAACGTTTGGCTTTGAAAATCACAGGTGCCTAACAATCAGTGGAATTTAAAAAATCAGTGACTCAGCTCTGGGAGAGCTGGGAGGATGGAGTCTCTGCTCTTTTAGGGACAGCACAGCAAACAGCCTTGCTAAGACATAGTATAGAAGCAGCAGTTTGAAAAATGCCTGAAATATAGAAGAAGATTTTATTTACTAATCTCAGAGTATGTGCTAGAGACGCAGGGATCTTTGGGTGACTACTCCAAGAACAAAAGACCTGGTGGGTGCCATTTCCCTCACCTGTCCCCCACCCTAGATATACAGACACCTGTGGGAACCAGTGCAGTGCCAACACACTCCACCTAGCTTACTAAAAGTATACCTCACTCTTTCACTGTTGGTAGGAATGCAAACTGGTGCAGTCACTCTGAAGAACAGTATGGAGGTTCCTCACAAAGTTAAAAATAGAACTACCCTATGATCCAGCAAGTGTACTATTAAGTATTTACCCAAAGGAGACAAAAATATTGATTCGAAGGGACACATGCACCCCAATGTTTACAGCAGCTTTATAAACAATAGCTAAATTATGGAAAGAGCCCCAGTGTCCATCAACTGATGAATGGATAAAGAAGATGTGCCACACACACACACACACACACACACACACACACACAGGAATATTAGCCATAAAAATAATAAAATCTTGCCTTTTGAAACGTGGTGGATGGAGCTACAGTGTATTATGCTAAGTGAAATAGTCCGAGAAAGACAAATACCATATGATTTCATTCTTATGTGGAATTTAAGAAACAAAACAGATGAACATAGGGGAAAATAAAGAGATGCAAACTGGAAAACAGACTCAACTTTAGAGAACAAATGAGGGGAAATGGGTGGGGGAATGGGTTAAATGGGTGATGGTTATTAAGGAGGGCACTTGGAATGAGCACTGGGTTTTGTAAGTAAGTGATGAATCACTAAATTCTACACCCAAAACTAATCTTACACTGAATGTGAACTATCTGGAATTTAAATAAAAACTTGAAAAAAAATAACTTATACAATTGAATACCAAAGAAACAAATAACCCAACTGAAAAATGGAGAGAGGACATGAATATACATTTCTCCAAAGAAGATATATAGATACCCAACAGATACATGAAAAGATACTCCACATCACTAATTATCAGGGAAATGCAAATGAAAACCACAATGAAATATCACCTCACACTTGTCAGAATGGCTAAAATAAAAAAAGACAAGAAATAACAAGCATTGGTGAGGATGTGGAGAAAAAGGAACCCTTGTGCACTGTTGGAAGGAATGCAAATTGGTGCAGCCACTGTGAAAAATAGTATAGAATTTCCTCAAAAAATTGAAAATAGAATTACCATATGATCACCATAGTGAAAATACTACTGGATATTTAACCAAAGAGAACAAAAACACTAATTCAAAAAGATATGCGCCCTTATGTCTATTGTAGCATTATTTAAAATAGCCAAGATTTAGAAGCAACCCAAGGGTCCATGTATAGGTGAATAAATAAAGAAGAAATGGTATATATATATATACAATGGAATATGACTCAGCCTTAAAAATGAATAAAATCTGAGAGAATTTGGAGAAACATTTGGAGAAACAACATGGATGGATCTATAGGGTATAATGCTAAGTGAAATAAGTCAGTCAGTGAAAGACAAATACCATATTATTTCACTCAGATGTGGAATTTAAGAAACAAAACATGTGAACAAGGAATAAAAGAGACAGAAAGATTCTTTTAAAAGAAGATTTAGATCTTTTTAGATCTTTTAGATCTAAATTCTTATAGATCTTTTAAAATATTCTTTTTTAAAAAATTATTAGAATGCCAGTGTAGTTAACATACAGTGTTAATTAATTTCAGTTCAATATATTACTCAGTGCTCATCAAGGTAAGAGTATTCTTAATCCCCTTCACCTATTTCACCCATCTCCCTGCCCACCTTTCCTCTGGTAACCATCTGTTTGTTTTCTATAGTTAAGAGTCTATGTTTTGGTTTGCCTGTTTTCTTCTCCTTGTCCATTTGTTTTGTTCCTTTTTCTCCACATCTTCAAAACACTTGTTTCTTGAGTTTTTAAGTTTAGTCCTTCTGCCAAGTGTGAGGTGATATCTCATTGTGGTTTTGATTTGCATAACCCTGATGATGGATGATATGGAGTATCTTTTCACGTTGGCCATCTGTATGTATGTCTTCTTTGGAGTAACGTCTGTTCATGAACATACTCTTGAATATACAGAACAAACTGGTGGTCGCCAGAGAGGAGGTGGGTGGGGGGATGGATGAAATATGTGAAGGGGATTATGAGTACAGTAATCGTGATGGGCACTGAGTGATGCACAGAGATTTAAATAATAATCTTGTACACTTGAAATACAATAAAATTTATGTTAATTATAGTTGAATAAAAAGATTAAAGAAAGAAAATTTGAAGCCAAATTTCTTTGAGAAACAAGTTGTCTAGAATGGGTAAAATAGTGTCTACTATCATTATTTGGAGAAAAACATAATTCGTGTTCTTCTTATGAATCTCAAATCTAAGTTGTAATGCATTAAAAGTGTGTGTCTGTGTGTATTATACATAAAAATTATATGTATAAATTATTGCTAAAGAGCTCTTTAAATTTCCAAATCTCTTACTTGATGGATGAAGAAAGTCAAGCACAAAGATGTAGGGTATTAATTTTATGAAATTGAATATATTCAGGAATTTACATAATTTTTATCATTCCACTTCTAAAAGTTACTCTTTTGGGGGTACTACTTCCAATTATGTGTTAGTATACTCACACAGTGGTTTTCATACTATGGTATAGAATTCTATGATTCCAGAAAGGTACCTCAAAGATCACAGGGAAGGAGAGAAGAAGCCAGGGAAGATGGGAGGGAAGAAGGGTATAGTGGGCAGTGGGAATTGCTACCTTTTCTTCAATTTGGACAGGTTTCCTTGTAACATTTTATATATTGAGTCTGCCCAATATTTCATTTAAAAAAGCATCCCTCTACTAATTAAAAATTTGCAAATCATTATAGCAAATCATTATTCAATAGATATTGAGAACAGTAGAAGACACTGTGCTAAAGCAAATGTAAGTGAATGATTTATGATACTTGCTTTAGGAGCCATCTACACTTGAAGAAATGAATAGTATTTATTTATTTATTTATTTATTTATTTATTTATTTATTTATGTTTAAGTTTGTTTATTTTGAGAGAGAAACAGAGAGAGTGAGTGGGGAATGGGCAGAGAGAGAGAGTGAGCGAGAGAGAATCCCAACCAGGCTCCATGCTGTCACTGTGGAGCCCTATGTAGGTCTCAAATCCACAAACCATGAGATCATGACCTGATATAAAACCTAGAGTCAGATGCTCAGCTGAGTGAGCCACCCAAATGCCCCAAATAGTTTTTAGTACTTAGTGAATTTTATCACTTAACCCCTTTCACCAGGTCTCCTTCCCTCCTTCTCTCTCCTCCTTCCTCCTCTCTCTTCCTCCTCCCACCCACATCTCTTAACTCTTCAGTGGAATAAGTACTTTGCCTTACCTGGGCTGGATCAGACCCAGATGACTGAGGCCTAGGCTGTCTATCTAAGCTGCTTCCAGCCATGCTGGTATTGTGAGGTTCAATCAGAGGACAGTAGGGATGTGCAGGGACATTGGGACTGTGGCACCAAGGACTGCTATTAGGAAAAAGGGTTGGTGGGTTTTCTTTTTCTCTGTAAAAAAAAAAATTAAGTCCAAAGTGAACCAAAAAGGGATCATCATAGTTCATTATCAATGAACCTCAATTAAAGTGAAAGCATGTTTCAAGACCATGTTTTAAGACCATGTGGGCAGTGCTTTTATCACATCAGAAGTATTTGCCCCCCCATGTGTAACAAATTCTTCACGTTAAGCCACAAGGCAACTTTTGATCCAAGATGAAATTCCTAGATGATTCACTATTCCCTCCACCGAAGCACTGCTAAAGACATGGTGATAACTTCATCTCTTCACCTCTCCACAGCCTTGCCTCTAACAGCATTGCCACTAAGAAGTGAAATGGCCAGAGGGGTCTCGATATTGCCTAGCGGAAGTCACCAGCCTTTACTGTCCCATGACTATAACCCTGCTTTCTCTGTGTTTTTCACAAAACACAAATAGTATTATGGTTTTTATCATTCTATTTGAAATAGGATTTTTTTTTGTCATTATTGATTTACCTATTCATCATGTCTCTACTTGTCACTCAGTCCTTCCTACTTGTTCAGTTAAAAAAATTTTTTTTAAAAATCCAAACAACTTTTACCTTTTAAGAAAAACTCTAACTTGTTCCATCTGATTTTTTGAGGTATCCTTATTAGACTTGTCTTGTTTTTCTTTAGTTGTAGATATAGCTGTTGGCCAATGAAATATGTGTCTTCGAGACGTTGGACTTACTATTGAGCATCTGTCAAATTCAATGTCAGTCTCTAATTTCTCCCACACTTGTTTCCAGTGAATAGGAGTGTACCAGGCGACAGCCTAACAAAAATGATTCATTAATGTCAACTACCGATGGAGTTGGATAGATTTTTTTTAAATGTCATAGGCTTATTGCAGTAAAATTTCAAAGTCAAACAATTTGATGCCACTCACTTACTATGGGTGAATTAATAAAACACACAGTGAGGATGTAATAAGACATCCTGGCCTTAGTTTCCAATTCTAAAACTTACAAACTGCATAACCTCAGACAGATTAGTTGCTTATTATCTTGGACTGTGTCCTCATATGTGAAATGGGGAGGATGGTGGTAGGGAATTGTTATATGAGGGTGTTGTGAGGTTCAGTTAAGCTACTAAATTTCATTAACTATAAAGAACTGTGCAAAAAGCAGTTGTAAGTAGTTGTGTAGTTCAAATCAGAGTAAAAGGAGCAGTGTAAGTACAAAGACTAATTTCATTTCAGGGAAGGACAATTTACTCAAATAGGCATTCCAGGAGCTCAGAGATCTGGTCTCTCGTTCAACACTCAGTGTCTGGGAACAGTGTGCACACAAAGTAGAAACCCCAAATGTGTTTGCAGAACAAATAAATGGGTGGATAAATGTGATGAAAAATCTGAAACAGAAATGCCTTAATCATAATCTGCCAATGATTTTTTACAAGGCTGAGTAAATAACTTAGATTATATCACCTATTTTTCCCATCAATGAGAATCATTAGAAGTATTACAAAATTCAGTTTTAGCCCGCTGAAAGATCTAAAGGTAAGTGAGTAAATGCTTCAAAATTACAGCTAATGAGTGGTCTCCCTATCTAACAACTGCTGTTATTACAGAAAGACGTTAAATGGCTCTTAATAAATTAGCAAGTCTACTCAAAAGAGAGAATACAATCTAAGAATGAGGTATAATGTAGCAAGAAAGACAATCAAAGGGATAGATTCCAATTAACATATTATCTGGATTAGTAGTTATATGACATAGTAAGTTAGACTGGGAGTAAGAAAAAAAAGATTTTTTAAGAAAAATTAAAATAATGTTTTTGCAAAAAGATTAACTTTTTTGTTGTAAACAAAGATAGCTTTCAACTTTATTAGTGTGTTTTTGGGCATATACTTAACGCTACTATTATGCTAAGGAAAAGGTAGAGTGAAAATATAAAATTGTCAAATACTGGGAATAAGTTACCTAAAATTATTACTAATACACTTAATTTATGGTGAAGTTGATTTAAAGTATAGTTGTTACAAATTAGACTATAGATTCTTTCATTAGAATATTAATATCTTAAGAGCAGATATCATATCCTACTCTATGTTATATTCTCAGCACTTATTACAGCCATTGGAATGGACAATAATCTCAACAAATAATTGAGAAATGAATAAATGAATAGAAAAGGTCTCTATGTAGTACTTTCCTTTCTTATTCCACTCTTTGGGCTAAATATCATAAATAAAATCCATCCCTGATTCTAAAATTTGAAGTAACTTCTTATAAATATGGGCTATGAAAATTATTTCTGCCAACTTGTAAGTAGCTCTTTGGCATTTTGGCCCTGGGAAGAGGATGCTGTTGATTTGCCTGACATGTTACTGCAGTTAGTGATGGTTCTATCTGAGCTCTTAAGGATGGAAAATAATTGAGTCAGCTAAGAGGAGAAGGGGAACCTAAGGAGAGCTATGCATTCTTTTAAAAGCTATTGTTGAGAATCAGACACTGACTTCACCATTAGGTTTGCACAGAATTGTTGTACAATCTGGGCTTGTTTTAAACATTTTTTGTTCTCTCCAAAGAAAATCTGATGGTGGCTGATGCTTTGCTTCAGATGCAGCTGCCCATACCTATAAGAAAAATGGTTTGTTAATGACAAATGCCATTGCAGCTTCACATAGTTTCGTATATGTCAGGGGGTCATTGAAACGTGTCATTTTGAACAATGAGGTTTTAAAATATGACTGCATAATATATAATATCAGCTGTGTAAACCAAGATACTGTACATGACTTAAAGGAAAGCACAAAAAAGAAAGGAAACCTTCCAGCATCAACTAATTACCTGTTCTCTAAGCAAACAATCTCTTTGCTTTTAAGGATTATGTTTGCTTAGTTTTGGGAACCTAAGTATTTCATTTTAATAGTGAAATCATAAAAACAAAAGGTATTGTACACCAAATTGAAGAAAGCAATGGAAATTGAATTACGGGTGTTAATTTACATCTAGGGATGGACAAAGTGGCACAAATAACCAACAACAACGAGAAACCACATTTTACGTAGAGATCAAATGATGAAGAAACAACTGGTGCTGAGCCAGTCTGGCTGGGTAGATGAGTTTTTCCTGTACAATTCTAGTTCAGAGCATCACAGCATTTATATCTGGCACTCACTGTTACTGTGCGATTGGCCTGCATTATGATATTTGGAAGGAAGCGGTACAAAGAGACTGTTTGTCCATTCACATTTTGCTGGAGAATATGACCTCCAATCTCCAGTTCTTTGTCAAGGGAAGAGTTAATGAGCTTCACGAATAAACCCTTGACATTTACTTCAGCTATTTTAATGTCTCCAAGAGCACTGAAAAAATAAAACACAAAGATTATAAGGCGACTTTAGAGAAACGTGTCTTTAGCTCATTTTAAGGACTGAATAATATGCTTTGAAAGTACAACTTTCAAATAGCTGTATAGTCTGTTGGACACAGTCTATGTAGAAATAGTGTATTTTATAACCTAAGACAAATGGCTTGATCTCTTGGTTCTGCTTGTTTATCTACGCAACAAAATTCTTTCACATAAATTAAAGAAAAGTTAGAAAGCACTTTAGGTGGCAAGGTATAAATGCCATAGGAAGATGTGTTTATCATTATTTACATTCCTTCTGTTCATCATAAAAGCACTGAGACATGAAACTACCATCTAAATGAAGAGGAAAGTTAAACCATTCAGATTATTTCGGATAAAGTTACTGTGAAGGTGAATAGCAACTACATGCTTAAAAAGAATGATTGAAACTTAAAATATTATACAAATATAAAATGTTAATTTTTCCCTGCAACATGTTGAAAGCCTAGTGTGTACCAGGGACCAGGCTAAACATCTGTATGTTAGCATTTCTTAGAGTGTGGGTCACATGAAATCCCATTTGTGGGTTATAGCCATCATTTTAAAAGTGAAATGCCAGTAATAATAACCAATAATTATTATGTGCTGGGTACTTTGTAAAGATTGTATCTATAACTGCAATTTCATATCCACAATTCCAAAATCCAAAAAATCCTAAAAAAACCCCAAAGCTTAAAAAAAATACATTTGATATTGTGATGAGCACTGGGCATTGTATGAAAGTGATGAATCACTAAATTCTATACCTGAAACTAATACTGCACTGTATGTCCATTAGTTGGAATTTAAATAAAAACTTGACAAAAATATACATTTGAAGAAAAATCTGACCTGAATTCTTTCGGTGGCAAAATCTGACCTGAAACTCTTGGGAGGTTATTAAGAGTCTTCATTTGTGGTTTGTGTGAATATTAATTATGTTTGGCTGTAGAAAGATTAATGTTTGATTTTGGATACTTTTCTAAGCCCTGATGGGATGTTATGTAATATGTGTTCTGGTCATCATATTACTTTCCTCAAATTCCCCAAATTCAGAATTTTGAAACACATTAAGTCCCCAGATATTTTGGGAAAGGCATTGTGAACTTTCAGATATTCATTTAATCCTCACAATAAGGCTACCCATTTCTTATTGAAGGTCATGGTAAACAATCTGAGGAACACTAATATTTCATGTAATTCTTCCAACAAGTACCAGTGAGACAAGTACTATTTAGTCCCATTTTACAGACAAGGACATTTTACAGACACGTTTCTTTTTTATTTAAAAAAAATTTTTTTTTCAACGTTTTTATTTATTTTTGGGACAGAGACAGAGCATGAACGGGGGAGGGGCAGAGAGAGAGGGAGACACAGAATGGGAAGCAGGCTCCAGGCTCTGAGCCATCAGCCCAGAGCCTGACGCGGGGCTCGAACTCACGGACCGCGAGATCGTGACCTGGCTGAAGTCGGACGCTTAACTGACTGCGCCACCCAGGCGCCCCTACAGACATGTTTCGAGAGAGATTGCCGTGTCCAAGAGTACCCAATAAATGTTAGCATTAGCTCTTCTGTCTCACTCAACTAATGCATTCTCAAAAAGGTTTGATGCAAACATTCAAATTGTTTAAAGTCTATATAGCCTGGTGGTTGAGTACTGCTAGAAAACACACACACACACACACACACACACACAAATTACTGCCACAGAATAAATTGGTCTTCAACCACAGGTGGGCCCTTAATGACTCCCTTAGTAACTGGCAGCAAGGTGTGTGTGTGTGTGTGTGTGTGTGTGTGTGTGTGTGTGTGTGTGTG